CCCCCAACACCCCCGGGACCCCCCCCCGGGTGGGCTCGGACCCCCCCGGGGCCGCCGCCGGCCCCTTGCCGGGCACTTTCCCGTCTCCGCCGGCAGTTCTCAGTCAAAGGCAGAGACGCACACCTCGGATTTGTAATTATTTATTAACTATATTTTCCATAAACAATGCATGAGCTCGGAGTGTAAGCGACAACATTTAGCGACGTGGAAGGAAACCCGGGTGGGCTCAGCAAAGGGGAGGGGGGCACAAAAATACAGAAGAAAGGGGAAAGGCGAGCGGAGCCGGGGGGGGCGGGACGGGGACGGGGCGGCCGTATTTACCCCAGCATCGCCCCGAGTGCGGCAGAATAGACTGGGACCCTCTAATACATAATTTAAAGATTTTTTTTTTTTTTTTTTTTCCCTCTCCCCCACAAACCTGGCGCGGCGCGCAGCGATGGATCCCGTCCAGCAACGGGTTTATTGCGCGGGGCTGTTCACCGGGCTTAATTACATCGTAACTTCAATATTTGTTGAGTGCATTAACCGCATAGATATTTAATCAGGCGCAGGCGCTCTTCCGACGGGGGAAAAGTCGGGGGGGGGGGGAGGGTGTGTGGGTCCCCCCCCCTTGCAACGCTGCCCGGGATGAGGAGGGGTCTCGGCTGCCCCCCCCCTCCCCGCCCCGTCGAGGATGCTCACGGCAGAGAAAGCGTCTGGACGCGGGTGGGAGGGAAGTTTCTTCTTCGGCTTCGCTCGGAGATGCCGGGGGAGGGAAGAGGGGGGGTCCCCGGAGCTTTGCCAGCAGAGTCCGGGACGAGAGGGCTCCGGTGTTTGTACAGCACTAGTGCCCGGGAAAGGAGGGAGAAATCCCATCCCGGAGCGCAGCGGTGTAGAAAGGCTGATGATAAACAGGGGGATGTTTAACTAAAAAGACGGGAACGACAGCGAGAAAACGCAAATTCAAACTCGCCTGAAAGGGACTTTTTTTTTCTGTATTAGATTTTTTTTAAAATTTGAGGTTTTTTCTTTTTGGTGGTTTTTTTTTTACCCTTTTAATTTCCCTCTTTGAAACACCCCGGCAAAGGGCCCAGCCGGGAACGGACCTGGGCGAATTGCAAAATACAATGAAAAACAACAACAACCACCCCCCCAACCCAGAGGCACTGCCCTGGGGGGGGCGGCGGCAGGCCGTGGCCCGGGGGTGTGGGGAGGATTCCCCCCGCCTCGGGCTCCGCGGACTCCCCGGCCCGTGGGTGCCCCACGCCGGTCCCGCGGGGCAGAGGAGGCCCGTGGGAGGCCGGGCTTGGTGAGTTTTTTTCTTTTCGGAGCCAGCTGGAAACAGCGCTGGCATTTTCACCTCTCGAACGCCTGCGCTGAGTCGGGGTCCCCCGGGGGGGGGGGAGGCGGACCTAGGGCACCCCACGGTCCGTGTCCCCCCCCCTCCGGAGCGGGGTTTGGGGGGATTTGCGTGTGCCGTGGGCGGGTGGACAGGGAGCCCCGCCGGTAAATCAGTGCTGCCCGCTCCACCGCAGGGGGATGGTGGGTGCCCCGGGCCGGCGGGCTCCGCTCCCCCTCGGTCAGCCCGGGGGGGTACAGGGGTCTGTGCCCGCCTCGGCGTCCCTGGGCCCTGCGTGGGGCGAGAGAGGGGCAGGGGACAACCAGATGCTTTCACCAACGCCTGGGAAAAGAAGAAAAAAACCCAACCACCACAAAAAAAAAAAACCCCAACCCCCCAAAAAAAAAAAAAAAAAAAATCGCTGTGAAAAACTGGTGCTCGATGGACAGAAGATGCTCATCTCCTTCCCCTCATTCATCCCCACCAACACATGTCACTTGGGGGCCCGCAGTCAAAGGGAAGAGGTCCCCCGACGGCCGCCTACAGCTGTCGCCTTCCCGGGCGGCGGAGCGGGGCCGCCCGCCCCGCCTCGGCCCCCTCCGCTCCGCATGAGAAGCGGCCCATAT